AGTATTTAGAGCTATAGGGATATATGATTGTAAATGCAAACATACTGTTTGTAAGCATGAATTTCTTGGGGAGTAGGTTGGTCCAAAGAGAGCTAAGAAAAACATTAAAGAAAGGAAAATATTGCCCTGCAAAGCAGATTTTGTTTGGGAAAATGAGCACCATCCTTCCGCCAGTTAAATCTTTTTTAGGGGAGATATAAATAACTTACAGTGGAAGCTCTTCTCCATTTATAGAATAGTAAAAAAATTAAATTTCTTTATATTTAAGAAATCTTAAGTATTAGGCTGGCGCCGTGGCTCACTAGGCTAATCCTCCGCCTTGCAGCACCAGCACACCGGGTTCTAGTCCCGGTCAGGGCGCTGGATTCTGTCCTGGTTGCCCCTCTTCCAGGCCAGCTCTCTGCTATGGCCCGGGAGTGCAGTGGAGGATGGCCCAAGTGCTTGGGCCCTGCACCCGTGTGGGAGACCAGGAGAAGCACCTGGCTCCTGTCTCCGGATCAGCGCAATGCGCCGGCCACAGCGCGCCGGCTGCGGCGGCCATTGGAGGGTGAACCAACGGCAAAAGGAAGACCTTTCTCTCTGTCTCTCTGTCTCTCTGTCTCTCTGTCTCTCTGTCTCTCTCTCTCTCTCTCCACTGTCCACTCTGCCTGTCAAAAATAAAAAAAAAAAAGAAATCTTAAGTATTAAATGTTAATACAACTGATAAATCTGATCACTTCATTTGAAAAGACAATTTGGGTTTTTTAGTAACATAAATTCAGCCATTCTTAATTATTGAGGGAAGGGTATGAATTGGTAAGCAGAAGCCCTAGGGAGAGAGTGACAATTTTTTATAGGGTTTTGACTTTATTTTAGTCAAAAATCCCTAGTATTTAGCACCTATTTATGGGCCAGGCCATGCATTAGGTGCTGGGCAGACTACACAGAATTAATACAATGCAAACTTCATAGAACTATAGTATATCCGGGGAAACTGAAAAACAACTAATGCATAGCATGTTTGCCAAGTAAAAAAAGGAAGGAGAAAAATATGTTCACTCATATTCCAAATAGAATAGCATCTATAAAACCTCATAAGTGAGGAAGAACATATGGGAATAGGGATAGCAGAATGGAATATGCTTGGGTAACATGGGGAGGAAAGATTATGGGGAAGAAAGGGATGTGAAGCACTGGAATCATTTAGGAAGGTTTAACTGAAGGCAAGTAGGATAAAATCAAATTGCTCAAAAAAGGAAGGCGATATTGTGGGAGAGAATATAAAGGCAGGATTCATAGTGATTGACAGTTGTGAGCTGTTGGTCAAGAAAGGACTGGAATATATCTCTGAAGTTTTTAACAACAAAGTTGGTGTACTAACTAATTCTCCCCATTAACTCAGTGAGAAATAAAATTTAGTTTTAGAAAATGCTTATAAGCAGGACAATTCTTTTACTGAGTGTTTTTTTCTTAGACTAAACACATTACATGCAGTAATGTTCATTTAAAGTATATATGCAGATAGAATGCCTGTTATGTACTTGATAATGTTTTAGACATTATCATCCCCATCTTATGAATGGAAACAGCAGCTGGAAAATGTTAAGAAACTTGCCTATGCTATTTCAGCAAATTGATGATGGAGTCAGGATTAGAATCTAAGTTTGTTAAACTCCCATGATGTTTTGCCTTTTTAATGCCATGTAAGGTGGATGGGCTCTGTGTTTCCCAGGAAAGTTGGGAACTGATGATCTGCTGGGTTCTACATTTACTCCAGTGCCTCCTGAGTGTCTCTAAAAGTGTATTTTCAGGGACTTTTTCATTTTTCCAACTGACTTCTGTCTATGAGAGATATGGATAGAATTCTTTCTTTTTCCTGCCCCACTATATATACACAAACATTTTATCTCCCATACCTCCAATATGGTGATACTCTAATTTGAGTCTAATATACACTATGCACAGCTTTTGATTGTATTCCCTAATCACAGTTGAGCAATGTAAAAAATATAGTTAATTTTCCCTTACTACAATATTTTAGTATTTGTCTTCTTTTGTTTGTTTAATTTTTATGTACTTATTAATACAACTTCAGACTCATCATTGACTCTCTAAAACACTCTTCATATATTCATTCACATGCATGTTTGTACTTTGCATTCCTGAAAAAGTCTCTCCTGTACCTTTCTTAGCTGTATTGAAATAATTGAATTGGTTCCTTCTCTGCTTGGTATACCTCTGACTATTTGGGACCTTCTTTTATGACCAGTCCTGAGATCACCTGTACCTCTTCTTTGTGGTAATAGTCTCTGTCTGACTTTTCATATCTTTCCTATTTAATTCTCCTAGAAGATACTTTTTTAATGCTTTCTTTTATTTATTTTTTTTAACTTTTATTTAATGAATATAAATTTCTTAAGTACAGCTTATGGATTACAATGGCTTCCCCCCATAACGTCCCTCTGACCTGCAACCCTCCCCTTTCCCACTCCCTCTCCCCTTCCATTCACATCAAGATTCATTTTCGATTCTCTTTATATACAGAAGATCAGTTTAGCATACATTAAGTAAAGATTTCAACAGTTTGCTCCCACAAAGAAAATAAAATGAAAAATACTGTTTGAGTACTAGTTATAGCATTAAATCTCAACGTATAGCACACTAAGGACAAAGATCCTACATAAAGAGTAAGTGCACAGTGACACCTGTTGTTGACTTAACAAATTGACACTCTTGTTTATGGCCTCAGTAATCACCCTAGGCTCTTGTTATGAGCTGCCAAGGCTATGGAAGCCCCCTGAGTTCACCGACTCTGATCATATTTAGACAAGGCCATGGTCAAAGTGGAAGTTCTCTCCTCCCTTCAGAGAAGGGTACCTCCTTCTTTGAAGACCTGTTCTTTCCACTGGGATCTCACTCGCGGAGATCTTTCATTTAGGGTTTTTTTTCCCCCAGAGTGTCTTGGCTTTCCATGCCTGAAATACTCTCATGGGCTTTTCAGCCGGATCCGCATGCCTTAAGGGCTGATTCTGAGGCCAGAGTGCTGTTTAGGACATATGCCATTCTATGGGTCTGCTGTGTATCTCACTTCCCATGTTGGATCGTTCTCTCCCTTTTTTAAAAAAGGAAGATACTTTTTTAATGTTGCATGTTTGAAAATATTTTTATTTTTTTCTTCATCTTAAAAATGAGAGACTTGTTAATGAAATCTATGTTGTACATAAGTTTTTCTAAGAATTTTGAAAGAATTCTATTACTGTACAGCTTGCCATAGTGAGGCTAAGCCCCTTTGAATCGCATTTTTCTTACTAACAATATGAGGGATTGACTGTTTGTCCTCAACATTCTGGAACTATGTGATGATCATCGGAATGAGGGGGAGGGTGCAGAGTGGATGGGTGAGGGGCTATTCTTCTCTCTACATAGTCTCTCTTTTTTATTATTTCTTCTTCTTCCTTCAGTCCTCCTCCCTCATCTTTTTAGTTTAGGTGGCTTCCTTAGACTATGAAGTTTTGCTCATTTTTAAGAAGAGGAAACTATAAAGCTAACTGAAAATGTGGGAATAGGAGTGCAGCTTGTCAACTAAAAGTTCCATTGTAGGTTGCTCTGTCTAGGCCATTTGGATGGGGAAACACTGATGCTAATATTCTCTAGGGCCAGTGATATTCTGCAGAGAAGAATTTGGAAAGTAAAGTCTAAATGATAGCATTCTGTGATCCCAGTGAGGTAGGCATTACCTCTATCCTTAAAAAGATGTCCCTTGAGGTCAGCAGTCCTCAGTGACCTCAGTAAATAAAGGTGATATCTTACTTTCTTTGAAGCAAAGATCTTTAGTCTTTTGTAATGCAGAGCAGATTGGGGATCTGATACTATTAGACTTTCAGATTATTTTCTTTTTAAAGCCCTTCCAACTCCATCCACATTTTCACACAGATGGCCAGTTTCCAAGTCTTTAGGGGGGAATCCAGAGCTTATTGCTATCAGCTAAAGACTCAGTTTTCTTATATATGCTAAGTCATTTATTTCTTTCCTTCTATTTTATATCGTCCCCGATTTGTTTTTGGCTTTTCTCATGCTCTCTATGTTTTTGTGGATTTCTGATTTTAAAAATAAATTTTAGTATATTTTTAAAAATATTTATTTATTTATTTGAAAGGATGAGTTACAGAGAGGCAGAGGCAGAGAGGGGGAGAGAAAGAGAGAGAGAAGGAGGGAGGGAGGGAGAGAGAGAAGGGAGAGAGAGAGGGAGGGAGGGAGAGAGAGAAAAGAGAGAGAGAGGTCTTCCATCCACTGGTTCACTCCCCAGATGGAGTGGGGCCAGCTGGAGCTGGGCCAATCAGATGCCAGGAGCCAGAAGCTTCTTCTGGGTCTCCCTCACAGGTGCAAAGGCCAAGGAGTTGGGTCATTTTCTGCTCTTTTCCTAGGCCACAGCAGAGAACTGAATAGGAAAAGGAGCAGTGGGGACTCACACTGGCACCCATATGGGATGTCGGCACTGCAGGTGGTGGCTTTACCTGCTGTGCTACAGCACTGGCCCCATCTGTATTTTTAATAAATAGTGAAAGTAGACATAAATATTCAGTCTTCCATCTTCTTTCCAGAATTCCAGAGAATCCTAACAAATTCCTTCTGGTGTGCTTTGTGATGCTGTTGTGTTTTGCTTTCACTTGTTAAGGCTACATTCTTTAGGCTTGCTTTCTGGAGATGAAGAACCATTAACCAGAATATTCTTATCTAATGGACTAGAACAATTTTTTTCTTTTTTTTTTTTTTTTTTTTTTTTTGTCTCTTCCATCAGCTGACTCTGTGATTGGAGTCAAATCCTTTAAATTATGCTCTTCAGTCCAGTCCATATCTCTATAAAGTAGAAATAAAACCCTATGTTCATAGGCTGTTCTGAAGATAAAATTAGGTAAACTGGTAGTTTTGTAAATGGCTTTAATGTGCTCCAAATATGCAAGCTAATCTATATGCAAAACCACCTTAGTGTTCTTTATAGTATAAACACTATCAATTCATAAATCTTTTCCTCCGTAGATTCCTTTTTTATTGCCTAATTATTTTTGGTGCTTTTTCCTGAAATTTCTCTCCATTTTCAAGAGCAGCCAACAGCTCTACCCTATGCCAAGAGAAGTGAAATGCTTATACTCAGCTCTTCCACATCAAACTTCTGCCAACACCTCTCATGGCATATCTTCACTATGACAAAAACAATGAGGGAATAAATTCATCTTCAATTTGTTATGTCTTCTCTGTTTCTCCTGGCTTTGAATATTCCATCTGGTTACCCTAGAAGCGGGATTTTTTTTTCCTCTGTGCCATCACCAAAGTTGCAAACCAAATGACTGCCTGTCAGCAGCTTGTTCCACCTGCCAAATTGTGGAATATACTTGCTTTGCTAACTGAAAAAATACTGATGAGAAAAGACCTGGATTCAGTGACCTAAGCCAAAAATAGCTACAGGCAAAAAAAATCAATCATCTGAGATTCTCAGTAGGCAGCAAAGAACTCCAAAATAGCTTTTCATCTCGTGAACTTTCTCTGAAAGATTAGCTCATGATTCTATAGCATCAGTTCCTGAAATTCATGTGCTAGAGATACAATTCTTGTATGCCTTTTCTAAGAAGTTTCTCTTGAAACAGTAGATAGATGGAGGATATAGCTTTTGCAGTATAATAAGAAAATGAGGTCTCGGATTTTTAACAGTTTGAAAACTGGATTATACACATACATACACACATATACACACACATATGTATCTATATATATCACAATACTTTTTGTGATTTTGGTAAATAGGTATCCCAGAACTCTGATCCCTGAGAAGGGAAACAAAGTGAGAACAAAAATCACTTTTGTTTTCTGCTAGAGGAACCTGGGGTGGAGATCCTGAAATGAGTTAAATGATCCATTTCAGGAGACAGAGAACACAAGTTCAGAGAAGAGGTAAGGTAGCTGGACTTAGCAGAACGGAATGAAAGAGAGGCGAGAGCTATGTAGAAGTCATTGAGGCTAAGGAGAGATAGTTCGACAGTAGTAAGCAGAAAATCTCCCATTTCTTAAACAGGGTGGGGAAATGTTGAAGTTCCGTTCAGCCAGAATCCTCATTTACCACGTAGAACACTCCACAGACACATCAGAGAGGTCATATTTTAGGATAGCTACATAGCCCAATATAAAGACTGCTTCCATCTAGACTTCCATAACAAAGCTCTTAAAGAAGCTATTCAAAGGGGCCTGAACTGTGGTGTAATAGGCTAAGCTTCCACCTGTGGTGCTGACATCCTATATGGGCTCCGGTTCCTATCCTGGCTGCTCCACTTCTGATCTAGCTCTCTGCTGTGGCCTGAGAAAGCAGTAGAAGATGGCCCAAGTGCTTGGGCCCCTGCAGCCCCTTGGGAGACCCAGAAGAAGCTCCTGGCTCCTGGCTACAGATTGGCCCATCTATAGCCATTGTGGCCATTTGGAGAGTGAAACAGTGGATGAAAGACCTTTCTCTCTCTCTCTCTCTCTCTTTCTCTCTCTTTCTAACTCTGCCTCATAAGTAAATAAAATCTTTAAAAAAAGAAACCATGCAAGGATCAAGTTAACCAGCAAGTAAGTAACTACCTCTCCAAAAAATATCCAATACATTATTAAAGGCTGAAACAAAATCCAGAATTAAAGAATGTGAAAATAACCATGGCTAACATCTAATAAAATATACTTAATCAATAAAATACTTTAAGACAGCTATAATTCATAATACTATAAAGATGTAATAGAAAACATGGGAAATATGACAAGAGAATTTTAAATTTTAAATAAAGAACTTGAGGCAGAAACAAACAATATAGGCAATGTTTGTTGGAAGAGATTAACAGCACATGATGTACCTCAAAAGAGAAAAAAAAATCAAAGAATTTTTTTTTGACAGGCAGAGTGGACAGTGAGAGAGAGACAGAGAGAAAGGTCTTCCTTTTCCATTGATTCACCCCCCAATGGCCGCTGTGGCCGGCGCACCGCGCTGATCTGAAACCAGGAGCCAGGTGCTTCCTCCTGGTCTCCCATGTGAGTGCAGGGCCCAAGCACTTGGGCCATCCTCCACTGCACTCCCGGGCCACAGCAGAGAGCTGGACTGGAAGAGGGGCAACCAGAACAGAATCTGGCGCCCCAACCAGGACTAAAACCTGATGTGCTGGTGCCGCAGGCAGAGGATTAGCCTATTGAGCTGCTGCGCAGGCCAAAATCAATGAATTTTAAGATCTGTGAAGAAACTCTATCCAGAATGAAATTCAGAGGAAAAGTCCAAAAAAAGAGGTCTTAGTACTGGGTTGAAATCTATCAACTAATTTGAAGTGCCAGAAAAAAGGATAGAAGACAAAAAAATACTTGAAGAAAAAGTGCTGAAAAATGTGCACATTTGATGAAATTATAAAGTCTCAAGAAACTCAATGAATTACCAATAAATTAGTCCCAAAGAAAACCACACAGAAGTCTAACAAAATCGAATTGCTTAAAATTTAGCCATTTGACAAAATTTCTTAAAAGCCAAGACGGAAAAATGATACTCCATACAGAACAAATGTAAGAAGGACTAAGTCTTATCTCCTGTCCAGATAAAGACGGAAGTAATCTAGAAAACAGTGGAATGATGTCACTAAATTGTTAGAAAAAAACCTCTTCAACCTGAAAAGTCTATATTCAATGAAATAATCCTTCAAGAATGATAACAAATTAAACAATAAAAAGACAAACTGAGAAAATTGATCACCAGAGAGTGTAAGACATTAAGGAAAATGTTATAGATGAAAATTTTTATGTATGTATAAGGAAAGAGACAATGCCAGAGGTACTAAATCAGAATATAGAGATGGGGCAGTATGCGTTATGAAGGTTAAGTCATAGCTTGGGATGCCTGCAACCCATATCAGAGTACTTGGTCCCAGTCCTGGCTACTTGATTTCCGATCCAGCTTTCTGCTAAGTTTTGCTTAGGCAAACAGACAGTGGTTCAAGTACTGGGGATCCTGCCACCCATGGAGGAGACTTAGATGGAATTCTGGGACCCTGGCTATGATCTATCTCAGCCTTGGCTGTTGTAGGCATTTGGGTAGTGAACCAGTTGATGAGTAAGCTCATGACTAGGGAAATTATTTAACTACTAGGATGTAGACTGCAACTGGGCAGGGGATTTCTCTTTCTCTCTTTCTCTCTTTCTCTCTTTCTCTCTTTCTTTCCCTAGAAGAGTTCCTGGCACACAGCAGGTACCCAGTAAATGTTGGTTGTTAAATTCCATTTAACAAATCAAGAAATTGTGGCAAAGAAGAGATTTTGTGACTTTCAAAGATTCATTGTACTGTCAACATGGCAAGCAAATGAGAAACCTTAAAGGAGGAAGAGTGCCTTGTAGGACACTATATGTTTTCCCTCAGATTTCTTTCATAAGAAATGGAAATTGTGTTTTTTGTATTATTAAGTTAATCCTTGGAACTGTCACCTTTCTCATTTTAAATAGAACTTTTCTTTTATAACAAAAACAAAGCAGCGATCATTTTCCTGTTATTCAATACTTCCATTAGATGCTGCTGTGTAAATTGCTCAGAATGCAAGTACTCAGTGTGCCAGGATTTTTGTAAGACAAACAAAACATAAGAATTTTGATGTCTTAACAAGCATGTTGTTTGACCCGTGTTAGATTCATCTACTATAAGCCATCAGAGCAGTGGGAGGTTAAATCCTATTCAAGTAAATTTCACAATGTGAAACGCATGTGCAATAGTTGCTTGGCATTTGAATAGGGATAAAATGGAAGGAATGAAGCCAGCTTATGTGTGTCAAATATTTCTAATTTTTAAATAAAAAATTTAATCACAACCAGAGAACTTATTCTGACCAAACGACATACAGTGTAATTATGTAGAGTTACAAGTCTGATAAATAGAACATCTGTTATTTTATTTTAAGATTATAAACCATAATGATGATGTATCTGTTTAGGTTATTTTTCTTCTTTCTAATGAGGTGACTCAATTGAAACCTGACTCACCAAGAATAAATTTAAAGATATAAATATCCTCAACTATATTTTATCAGCCCTTAATTTACTCATGTTGCAAATGATTTCATACTTTATAAAAAATTTCAAATATAGGGGCTGGTGTTGTTGTTCAGTGAGTTTAACTGTCACTTGCAGTACTGTCATCATATATGGTTGCAAAATCAAGTCCCAACTGTCCCACTTGCAATACAGCTCTCTGCTAATGTGCCTAGGAAAACAGCTGAAGATTGTCCAAGTACTTGTTGCCCTGCTACCTGCATGAGAGACCTGGATAAAATTCCTGGCTCCTGGTTTCCTCCTGGCTCAGCCCCTCTGTTGTGGCCTTTTGAGGAGTAGATCAGAAAGGGGATGATATCTCTCTCTCTCTCTCTCTTTCTCTCTCTTTCTCTCTCTTTCTCTAACTCTTTCAAATAAACAAATAAATATTTTAAAAATCCAAATATACAAAGGTGGGAAGCTAGTTCATCAAATCTCCATTCAGCCATTGCCAGCCACAGTGAGCATCACCTAGTTGTCAACATTATTTCATCTCTTATACTTCTGTCTGTGCTCTCACAGTCCCCAGTAATCATTTCATCTTTTTTTTTTGACAGGCAGAGTTAGACAGAGAGAGAGAGAGAGACAAAGAGAAAGGTCTTCCTTTCCGTTGGTTCACCCCCCAAATGGCTGCTACGGCCAGCATGCTGCGCAGATCTGAAGACAGGAGCCAGTTACTTCCTTCTGGTCTCCCATGCGGGTGCAGGGCTCAAGCACCTGGGCCATCCTCCACTGCCTTCCCGGGCCACAGCAGAGAGCTGGACTGGAAGAGGAGTAACCGGGACAGAATCTGGTGCCCCACCGGGACTAGAACCCTGGGTGCCGGCACCACAGGCGGAGGATTAGCCTAGTGAGCCACGGTGCCAGCCATCATTTCATCTTTAAGACTTCCAGTGTATATGTGGGTAATTCAAAAAGATCATAGAAACTGGAATTAGATGTTTATGTTTTTTATTTTAAAAAAAATTAAGGTGAACAAATTTCATATATTTCTTTTTTTTAAAGATTTATTTATTTACTTGAAAGTGTCAGAGTTTACACACAGAGAGAGAGAGGTCTTCCATCTGATGGTTCACTCCCCAATTGGCCACAGTGGCTGGAGTTGCGCCAATCCGAAGCCAGGAGCCAGGAGCCAGGAGCCAGGAGCCAGGAGCCAGGAGCTTCCTCTGGGTCTCCCACATGGGTGCAGGGGCCCAAGGACTTGGGCCATCCTCTGCTGCCTTCCCAGGCCAGAGCAGAGAGCTGGACTGGAAGTGGAGCAGCTGGATCTCGAACAGATACCTACATGAGATGCCAGCGCTTCAGGCCAGGGTGTTAACCCGCTGCACCACAGTGCCAGCCCCTCATATGTTTCTTATATGAAGATTTTGGAACACAGTGATAGTTCCCACCCTACACTCCCTCACACCTAGGCGCCTACCCTTCCTCTTCCTCCTTCTCTTATTCCCTCCCTTAATTTTTACAATACATTACATTTTAAGTACCCTATTAGTTACTTCTGATCAGGGAAAGGATGTGGTATCTGTTTTTTGGGGCTGGCTCATTTCACTAAATATAATGATTTCCAGTTGCATCCATTCTATCTGTCCAAGTCCCCCATTACTATTGTATTGGTGTCTATGTCTCCGTTTAGATGCATTAACATTTTTTTTTTTTTTACAGGCAGAGTGGACAGTGAGAGAGAGAGAGACAAAGAGAAAGGTCTTCCTTTTGCCGTTGGTTCACCCTCCAATGGCCGCCGTCTCCCATGGGGTGCAGGGCCCAAGCACTTGGGCCATCCTCCACTGCACTCCCTGGCCACAGCAGAGAGCTGGCCTGGAAGAAGGGCAACCGGGACAGAATCCGGTACCCCGACTGGGACTAGAACCCGGTGTGCCGGCGCCGCAAGGCGGAGGATTAGCCTAGTGAGCCGCGGCGCCGGCCAACATTTCTTTTAAATATCCAGGCCTCCTATAATTGTTGCATATACATTTATTATAGTCACATCTTCCTGTTAATCATTACAGAGTGTCCTTCTTTGTCTCTTTAACCGTTTTTATGTTAAATTCTAATTTGTCTGGTAGTAGGATGACAACACTTCCCTTTTTTGATTTCTGTTAACCTGAAATATCTTTTTCCTTCCTTTCCCTTACAGTCTGCATATATCTTTGTTGGTGAGATGTGTTTCTTGTAGGCAGCATTCAACCAGTCTGTATCTTTTAACTGGATATTTGAAGCCATTTTTATTCAAGGTGACTATTGATAAGTAACGACTTGGCCCTGTCATTTTCCATAAATATTCAGAGTTCCCACAGTCACAGCATGTAAGGCTCCCACAGTCCTGGGTTTATTCATAGGCTGCCCCATTAGCCTATCCTGACCTTGGGAGAGCAGAGATGTTCCCAGAGATTATTGCTTGTGGGTGCTCTGCCTTGACAGTTTGAGTGCCAGAGCCTGTGATATGTTGAGAGGATTTGGGCACCTCACAGTCCTATCTTTGTGCCCAGCCCCCATCAACCTTGCCAGCCAGACTCAAAGTCAGTGGGGAATGTGGATTTTTCCTTTTGGTGAAATTCTTGACTAAATATATTTACAAGAATCATGCAGCCTCTACTTGTGTCAAAATGGTGCCTTTCCCCCTACAGTTGCCAGATGCTCTTTTTAGGGGGATGCAGAGAAAGAAATGTGCTTTTCTTTCAATGGATTAGGCAGGTACCCTGCCCCTCATTAGGGTCCCAAGTGGAACTCAAAGTTTATGTGATCTATAAGGTTTTCCCTTAGGACATATCATCAGTGGCATGGGCTGCTGCAGTCTACTATCACCTCTCTCCAAAGCTGGCATGTCTTCCAGCGCCCAGCTTTGGGGATCATGTATCCTTCTCTGCTCATTGCTGTGTGACTATACCTTCCATGATGCTCCAGCAGAGAGCTGGATTGCAAGTGGAGCAGCTGGGTCTCGAACAAGCACCCATATGAGATGCTGGTGCTTCAGGCCAGGGCATTAACTTGCTGTACCACAGTGCCAGCCCCCAATTTGCAGACTTTTGAGGAATCTGAAAACTGTCATCCATTATGATTGTACTAATTTACATTCCCATAAATAGTGTATTAGTGCATTATGGTACCACATCCTATCATTTGTTATTTTTTTGATTTTTGTATATAGCCATTCTAACTGGGGTGAGGTGATACCTCATTGTAGTTTCTATTTGCATTTCCGTGATGCCTAGTGATACTGAGGATTTTTTCAGGTGCCTTTTAGGCCTTTGTATTTCCTCCTTTGAAAAAACCTTTGCCCATTTTTTAACTGGATTATGTCTTTTGTGGTTGTGGAGTTTATTGGGCTGTTTATATATTTTGCATATTAATCCTTTATCAGATGTGTAGTTTGAGGTATTCCCTCCCTTTCTATTGGTTGCCTCTTCATGTTGTTAAGTGTTTCCTTTGCTGTGCAGAAGCTTCTAGCTTGATAAAATTCCATTTGTCTATTTTTGCTTTTTATTGTCTATGCTTCTGGAGTCTCATCCTAGAAGTCTTTGCCTAGGTCAATGTCTTGCAGCATCTCCCTGAGGTTTTCCTCTAGAATTTGATGGTTTCAGCTCTTAGGTTTAGATCTTTATTCCACTGTGAATTGATTTAGTATAGGGTATAAGGTTGTAAGTTAGGAGTCTTGCTTTAAACTTTTTTATGTGGAAATCCAATTTTCCCAGCACCATTTGTTGAAGAGACTGACTTTTCTCCAGGGAGTGATATTAGCTCATTTGTCAAAAATTAGTTTGTTGTAGGTATGTGGATTAATTTTTGTGGTTTCTGTTCTGTCTCAATAATCTACATGTTTTTGTGTATGTGCTGGTACCAGGTTTTTTTTTTTTTTTATTATAATAGCCCTGTAGTATGTGTTGAAGTCTGGTATTGTGATGCCTCCAGTTTTGTTTTTATTGTTTAAGTGTTTATGATTGTTTTGGCCATCATGGTCTTTTGTGTTTCTATGTGAATTTTAGAATGTTTTTGCTAGATCTATGAAGAGTGTCCTTGGCACTTTTATTGGTATTGCTTTGAATCTGTAAATTGCTTTGGGTGGCATGGACATTTTGATGGTATTAATTCTCCCAATCCATGAACATAAAAGAGTTTTCCATCTTTTCATGTCTCCTATTTCTTTCTTTCATTAATGTTCTCTAATTTTAGTGTAGAGATATTTCCCATATTTTGTTACATTTATCCCAATGTATTTCAATATTTTGTAGCTGTTGTGAGTGGTCTGATCCTATGAGTTCTTTCTCAACCAGAGTATTGTTGGTGTGTAAGAATGTTGTTGATTTTTGTATGTTGACTTTATATCCTACAACTTAGCTGGATTCTCTTATAAGTTCCAATAATCTCTTATTGTTGAGTCTTTTGCTTTCCCAATATAAAGGATCATGTCATCTGTAGTCAGGGATAATTTGACTTCTTCCTTTCTAATTTGTATCAGTTTTATTAGTTTTCTTGCCTGATTGCTCTGGCTAAGACTTCCAGAACTATATTGAATAATAATGATGAGAGTGGGCATCCTTGTCTTGTTCTGGATCTTGGTGAAAATGCTTTCAACTTTTTCCCATTCAATATAAAGCTGGTCTGTGGGTTTGTCATATTTTGCCTTGATTATGTTCAAGTATGTTCCTTCTATACCCAATTTTTAAAAGGTTTTCATCATCAAGTGATGTTATATTTTACTGAATGCTTTCTCTGTATCTATTGCAATTACAATATGGTTTTTGTAATTCTTTTTGTTGATGTGATATATCATGTTTATTGATTTGTGTATGTTGAACAATTCTTGCAGCCCTGAGAGAAATATCACTTGGTCTGGGTAGAAGATCTTTTTGATGTGTAGTTTTGGATTTGATTTGCTGGGATATATTGAGAATTTTTGCACCTATGTTCATTGGGGATATTGGTCTATAGCTCTCATTTTTGTTGTAATTTTATCTCATTTTGGAATTCCAGTAGTGCTTGTCTCATGGAGTGAGTTTGGAAGGTTTCCTTTCCACGAAAGTGTTTTGAATAATTTAAGAATTGGGATTAGTCCTTCCTTGAAAGCGTGGTAGAATTCAGTAGTGAAACCATCCAGTTCTGGGCTTTTCTTTGTTGGGAGGCTCTTTATTACTGATTTAATCTCAGCTTTGGCTATTGTTCTTTTCAGGTTTTCTATGTCTGACCACTGTTTATGGGTGGGGCAAAAGTCCAGTGTCATATAAAGGTGAGTGTGGTGTAACACCTCTGGCTACAGTCAGTAGAGGGAGGGGATGCTAGAACTGGCTAATATATTCACTGTATACCAAGGGAAACCAGTTGATTCATGGCCTAGAGTGAACTCACAGTGCCTGCGCATAACACCCACCCAGGCATTGTGCCATAGTGATCACAAACGGACACTGTAGTGTGTCCCTCAAGCCCTCTGCAAGATCTGTCCCCAGCCTGTAGGGAATCCTGAGTTTCTGTAGTCAGATCGCCAGGCTGCATAGGAGCCCTGCTGAAACCGGGGTTCCTCTCAGCTCCGTGGCCTATACCAAGAACTCTCACAGTCACATGATACTGAGAGTCTGTTTGCTGTCTACCCTGCAAGAATCCCCATACCCAGGATGAGCTGCCTATTGTTTCCCAAATCAGGACATAGATAGTCCACAGTTCTACCTCAAAAAACTGAGCTGGTTCTTTGGTCAAGGAAGGGGATAGAAGCAACATATCCCTCCATGAACAAAGTGGTTGATCAGCACCCTCTTCCTCTGCAAGTTCCTCAGGCCAGACTCAAAGCCAGTGAGGACAGTGGAAATCTCCCTCAGTCGAAGCCACCAGTGGTGAGGGCTGTGGCAGTCTCCTGTCACTTTGTTGTGGGACAATGGCACTTTCCTGCTGAGTGACGTTTGTGTAAATGCAGTCACTGGTGGCTGTGTTTGTCCTCTCTCCTCTCTGCTCCACAGTCTTTGTTCTGTTCTGTCCATTTTCCACTGAAAATATTTCTCAATAGGTCCATAGGGAATGTGTTTCTTCCTTTGTTTTCCTGGTTTCTTTCTGTGGCTGAGGTCAGTGTGGCTTCACTATTTAGCTGTCTTGGGTCTCTTACATTCTTAATCTACACAGTAATTTATCAAGAAGACACAAAATCCAGAAACCATGAAATAAAAAAAATGAGAACCTGTCCTTCATCAGAATTAAAAGCTTGTTTTTCAAAGGATGCCAAGTAAAGGAATATAGGCCACAAACTGCGAGTAAACATTTGCAAAAATTTTTTTTGATCAAGGAACTTTATTCAGAATACAAAGAAGTTTTATAACTCAATAACAAAACTACTAAATTTCTTTTCATTTGACAGGTAGAGTTATAGACAGAGAGAGAGAGAGAGAGAGAGAGAGAGAGAAAGGTCTTTCTTCTATTGGTTCACTCCCCAAATGGCCGCTATGGATGGCACTGCGCCGATCTGAAGCCAGGAGTCAGGTGCTTCTTCCTGGTCTCCCATGCGGGTGCAGGGCCCAAGCACTTGGACCATCCTCCTGGGCCACAGCAGAGAGCTGGACTGGAAGAGGAGCAGCCAGGACTAGAACCCAGCGCCTATATGGGATTCCAGCACCGCAGGCGGATGATTAACCAAGTGAGCCACGGCGCCGGCCCCCAAAACTACTAAATCTTAAAAACTAGCTAAGATTTCACAGATATTTCATCTAAAAATTATACAGAGGGCAAAATATCCTTTGAAAAATAATCTCACATAATCATTAGTCATTATGGAAAGGCAATTGGATGCCACTACACTGCCTGTAGAATGGCTACAATGGAAAAGACTTCTGTAAGGATTGGTGATGCTGAGAAGCAACTGGAACCCTATACACTGCTGCTGGTAAGCAAAATGGTACAGCCCATTAGACAACAGTTTAGCAGTTTCTTGCAAATTCATCCCAGAGTAAAACAAACCATATTGCCACAAATACCAGTACCCAAGTGTTAACAGGAACATTACTTATAATCACCCATAACTAGAAACAACTCATATGCCCATGTTGATGACTGGATGAATTTATGGATATATAGGCATACAACAAAAATAAAAAGAAAATAGAGTACTTGTTTATACAGCAATGAATTTTCACAATGGATATCAAAAGCTGTATGAAAGAAGCCAAGACACAGACTTTGTTGTTTAGGATTAAATTTACAAGAAATTACAGAAAAGCTAAAATTAAAGCGATAAAAAGCAGATCAGTGGTTGCCATGGATTGATAGTACAGGGACATGAAAGAATTTTTTGGGGTGATAAATATGTTCTATATCATGATTGTGATGCTTCTGTAGCCCTGTATTTGTTTTTCAAATCTCATTAAATTGTACACTGCCACTGGGGATATAACAGTCAGTAGAATAGATTAAGGGCCTTACTCTCATGTGCTTTATATTCTCTTCTCTGCTCTTAATCACATATTGCTTCAAACTAATAGAGGAATTTAATTTCTTATGCTGCTCATTGGCCAAAAACTACTTAGAAAGAGGCTGTTTCTAGGCTATAAGACCCATGTCCACAGCTGCTGCCTCAAATCCCATGCAAATGCCTATGATAGTTACCCAGTATATCGGTTTTCTAGAATTACCATAACAAAATACTATAGACTGGGTGGCTTAAACAGCTGAATTTTGTTTTGTCATGGTTCTGGAGGCTAGAAGCCGAAGGTAAAGGCGTTTGAAGTCTGGTGTCTTGAAGCCTTTCTCCTAAGCTTGCAGATGGTCACCTTCTCATTGCATTCTCACATGGTCTTTCTTCTGTGTGTATACCTGTGCTGTTTCTTTGTACATCCAAATTTCCTCTTCCTATGAAGAGACCAATCAGGTTGAATCAAACCCCATCTGCACTAATTCATTTTAATTTAATCACCCTGTTTTCAAAAACCAGTCACATTCTGAGATCCTAGGCCAAAGGAATTAAACATGAATGGGGTGGAGTGGGCTGTGGAACAGACACAATTCAGCCCATACATGAGTTCTATGCCTTTCCAGGACCCTCTGCAATGTTGCCCCTAAGCATCCAAAGCACTTCTTAAGTTCTGAAAAATTAATCACAGAAGTTATTTTGGGAAAGATCTCACATACTTTACCTTATTTTAAATGTTGCAAGAACAACGAATGGTTATACAGCTCTCTTAAAACTCAACTTGAGGGCCCGCGCCGCGGCTCACTAGGTTAATCCTCCGCCTTGCGGCGCTGGCACTCTGGGTTCTAGTCCTGGTCGGCATGCCGGATTCTGTCCTGGTTGCCCCTCTTCCAGGCCAGCTCTCTGCTGTGGCCCGGGAGTGCAGTGGAGGAGGGCCCAAGTACTTGGGCCCTGTACCCCATGGGAGACCAGGAGAAGCACCTGGCTCCTGCCATCGGATCAGCGCGGTGCGCCTGCCACAGCACACCAGCCGCGGCGGCCATTGGAGGGTGAACTAGTGGCAAAGGAAGACCTTTCTCTCTGTGTCTCTCTCTTTCACTGTCCACTCTGCTTGTCAAAAAATAAAAAAAAAAAAAAACAAAAACAAAAAACAAAAAAACAAAACAAAAAAAAACAACTGAACTTGAAGAGTCTCCTTTGTAAGTGTCATGGTCTCCATAATGTAGAATTCCACATCCTACTTTTCTTCCTGCTATCCACAAGCAGGAAAGAGGTGCATCTCTAAATGTTGCCTTGCTTTTTCACATGTCACTCCTTTTGCTAAAAGTAACATTTCATATCTTAAAAGCACACATTCTGGGTGAGAAAAAAAGGAATGTGGGCCCCCCTACATGCTAGGTTCCTAGTGCAATACCAAATTAGTTCTGCATTTCTTAAGGGCAGAGATCATGCCTATTATGTTTCTTGGTACATAAAGTACAAAGCTTAGTAATATTTCTATAGTAGAGATTAAAGAACTATCTGCTTGCTAAATATTTTCCAGATGAAGTTGAGACTTCACACAAAGGTGTGAGCTATATTTCCCAGACTCCTCTCACCACGTGGTCTCAGTGAGCATCTGTGAGTAGACTTGAACTTCAACTTGCTTCTAGGTGAACTTCAGAATTTTCCACATTGGTCTTGCAGACTGAGTTGGCTGTAGGAAACTTCCAGGAGATTCTTGAGATTCACAATAGTTTCATGTGAACTCAGATATCCCCACCCTTTGGGAGCACAATGAACAAATTTGTGGGAGGAGGTTCCCAGAGATTTACCAGATTATCATAAATGTTTGTTTCCTCTGTTGGGAACCATCACATTGCTGCTGCAGGATGCGATAGTTCATAGCTTCTCTTGATCTTGTATCTCAGCTCTTCCAACTTTAGGTAAAACTCTAAATCCCGTGTTAAAACCCTCACTGTCTGCTAAAGTGTGGTGGGTACATAAGGTCACACAACTGAGCAGAATTAGAAACTGTTCCAGAATTGCAGTCAGAGAAGGCTAAAGATGGAAGAACAAATCTCTAAGTTCCTTGTTTTACAAATGAGGAAATAGGTTCCACGTAATTCAGTAACTTATAGGGGAGAGGTAGATTTGTATTATCCAATGCTTTTCCGTCGTTTCCACTTTCATCATATTATATTACCATAAGACTGCACAGACATACAAAGGTATAGTTTTGTTTAGGCAGTTACCTGTACATCTATTTATTTTGTGAATGGGTGATATTCTGTTCCCCTTCACTGCCTGCCTCATGAGAGCACCACAAAATGTTTGTAAGAATTGAAGGTCAAAGTGTATCTGCTGAGAGAAGCTTGTTCAGGATTCTAAGGATAAATCAGAGAAGAATTAGCTAAAAGTGATATGTAAGGATGCCTGGAAGTGAATGGATCACATTAAATAATTGTTTTATACCCAAGATGGGGGTAGGAGTTTGGCACAGTTGTTAAGATGCTGCTTGGGATGTTTGTATCCTGTATTGGCATGCCTGGAATCAAGTCCTGGTTCTACTTCCAATTCTAGCTTCCTGCTAATGTAGTGAATGATGGCTTAAGGGTCCCTTCCACTCATATGGGACACCTGGATTGAGTTCGTGGCTCCTGTTTTCAGCCTATCTATTGCGGGCATTTGGGGAGTGGAATAGAGGATGGAAGATTCAGTCTCTCTCTTTTTCCATTTCAAATAAAATGAAAGTTTTAAAAACTGGATGTAAGGAGAATAAAGAAAATTCTGTAATAAAATTGAATGAATTAAAATTCCTTATGATGGTGAAGGAAAAGAAACTATCAAGTTGTCCTATGTTGGGAGCTGCATAAATAAATACCACTTTATCCCAAAAATAGAATTTTGATAGCCTATTAAAATGAGTTTTAACAATGAGTGTTAAATAGATTTTTTTTAACATGGTGGTAATTCGAACACAAGAAAGTTTCAGAATTACAAATAAACTACTCAGCTGTGTTTGAAGGAGAAAAATGACAGTAAATTTGCCAAAATTAAGTAGATTGCTTGGGGCTATGAGACTATAGGAAATATTTCTTTTTTTTTGTGCTGTCTGTTGTCTGAACTTTCCAAAGTACCTGTAATGAATATACTATATTTATCATCAGAAGCATAACTAAAGATGAAAAATTCATGGTTTCAAAAAGCAGTAAATAAGGTAATTAGTCAAGAACAAAGTGAAATTTTTCTTCCTGCTCATTGTATCTAGATAAACAGAATATTTTCATTAGAGCCTAAATGCCTGCCTGACTGGCTGAGTGGCAGTTTTTTTTTTTTCTTTTTTAAGATTTATTTATTTGAGAGGCAGAGGCAAAGAGAGAGAGAGAGAGAGGTCTTCCATCCATTGGTTCACTCCCCAAATGGCTGCAATGGCTGGAGCTAGGCCTATCCAAAGCCAGGAGCCAGGAGCAGGGCCCCAAATCGTGGGCCATCTTCTACTGCTTTCCTAGGCCAGAGAGAGCTGTATCAGAGGTGGATCAGCCAGGACCTGGACTGAATGCTGGCACTGCAGACAGTGACTTTACCCACTATCGCATAGCCCTGACCTCATGGCAGTTTTTAAAATGTTCTATCGTGCAGGGAGAGGGAAGCACAAATTCTTCATGCATGATGTGTAACAAGTGAGGATGGAGGGCTATTTTCTTAAATGATTCTTCAATAGGTTTAGTGCTTACTTTTTCTTTTTTTTTTTTTTTTAATCAAATTTGGAACTTTTAACACATACAGTGGGAAAGCATTCAGATCCTTAGCTTGCTCAGAAAAAAACATGCTGGGTAAAATAATCCTTTTCATAAGAAAAAAAACACTGCTTACTTGCAAAAACTTTCTTTTAATTCCACATTTTTATGACTACTATTGAGGCAGCTCTTTACAGAATTATGCAAACCTCTATCTGTAAATTAATAAATATCTGGGATTGTTATTTGATTTTGATATTTTTTGTATAAATTCTCAAAAGCATTAAGCCAGTGACTCTCATTTCTCATATTATTTGGCTTGTTGACATTTGAATTTTCAAAATATCAAGGATTTCTCCAATGTGATTCATTTAAGTCAAGTGCTTTTTTTTTTTTTTTGAAAGATGAGCTGCTGATTCAGAACTATGATAAAATTAGAAATGTCAGTTTTTTATTCAGCCTATTTTTTAAAATCTATTGTTTATTTTTTGGCTTATCAATCTGCAAACTAAGTTAATAATTAAATTTGGTGCAGAACTTTCATTTGTATTTTAATTGCACTCTTATGAACAAAAGAGCGGTGAAGCATGCTGGGAAATGGCAGGAGTCTGGGACTCTTGCTATCCAGGTGACAGCATTTTCTCTATCACAGAGTTCCTAGGTAACATGGGCTGTAACCCCTCTGGCTCTTGGCTTCAGTAGCTTTAATGAGAGTGGTACAGTTATTTATCAATCATGATAGGTTAGATTATGCTGCAGAAATGAAAGCCCCCGTATTTCAGGGCTTGATATGATCAGAATTTATGTCATTTGTGTACCATAAACCATTATGTGTGAACTGGGATTAATTTCCAAGACATTCTAATTCTCTTTCTAGGACTCAGACTGACAGGGAAGCCACTATTTGACAAACAACCACCATCTAAAATATTGCTGGATCCCATGAAGAGGAAATAACAGAGGATGCCAAAGCAGGCATCTGTTCTTAAAACTTCTGTCCAGAAGTGACACGGGTCATTTCCTTATACATTCTGCTCACCAAAGCTATTCTTATGGCCAAGGCTGACTTTAAGGAAGGGAATTCATACATTGGTAAAACAATACAATTGGCACATAATTTTTAATGGACCTTTAATTTCTAGCTGTCTATGCTGCTGAAGTACAGTGAGAGAAGTTATGATAGATATTTGCCTTGAGAAATCATATACTTTTTGACCAAAATTGATGATATTTTGGATTTAATTTTTAGTGGGAAATTGTAGATTCACACGCAGGTTTAAGAAATAATGCACAGAGACTTCATATACATTTTGTATCTTGTTTTACTAATGATAAGATTTTATAAAACTATGGTGTAATATCATAACGAATATACAGACATTGGTGTAATCTACTTCTTATTCAGATTTCCCAGGCTTCACTTGTGTGTGTGTGTGTGTGTGTGTGTGTGTGTGGTGCATACATATGTCTAATTCTATGCAATTGTATCCAATGTGTAGGTTCTATATCCTCTACCACTTTTTTTTTTTTTTAAGATTTTATTTGAGAGTTAGAGTTACAGACAATGAGAAGGAGAGATAGAGAGAAAGGTCTTCCTTCTGTTGGTTTACTCCCCAAATGGCTGCAATGGCTGGCTCTGTGCCAATCCCGAGCCAGGAGTGAGGCACTTCTTCCTGGTCTTCCACTTGGGTGCAGGGGCCCAAGGGCTTAGGCCATCTTCTACTGCTTTCCCAGGCCGTAGCAGAGAGCTGGACTGGAAGAGGGGCAGCTGAGACTAGAACCGGCACCCATATGGGATGCTGGCACTGCAGGTGGAGGATTAACCTGCACCACGGTGCTGGTCCCCCTCTACCACTTTTAAGATACTGGTCATTCTTAACACTCAGGCTTTGTGCTGTTCATTTATAATAACACATTCTTCCCTTCTGTCATCATTACCCTTATAGTTAATGTGCCTTCCACTTAAAATTGTTGTTATTTAAGAAACTACTATTTAAATATAATCATACAATGTATAATATTTCATGATTGGTCTTTTCAGTCAGCTTTATTCCCTGGGGATTCATCCAAATTGTTGAATGTATCAGTATTTCCTTTTGATTACCTTGTGATATTCATGATATGTATGTATCCCCAGTTTATTTAATGGTTACTTATTGAAAGTTATTTGATTATTAAAACTGCTATGGAAATTTGTGTACAGACTTTTATGTGAAAATAAATCCATTTCTCTCAAATAAGTTCTCACAAGCGCAATTTCCAGATAATATGGTAATTGCATGTGTAGCATTATAAAAAACTGCCAAATTGATTTCCAGAGTTGCTATATGTTTTATGTTCCTACTAGCAATGGGTGTGTCATATCTCATTGACTTTTAATTTGTATTCCCTTGAACTGCATGATATTAAAGAATCTTTTCGAGTGATTATCAGCCATGAATATATGCACTTTTGTGAAGTATGTGTTGAAGTCTTTTGTCCTGTCAGCACTGTCATTTTTCCTATTGTTCAGTCTTGAAAATTCTTCCTATATTGTAGATACATATTCCATGTCAGATACAAAAATTAATTATAAATATTTTCTCCTGCATGTAACTTTTCATTCTCTGAATTACGTATTTTGAATAATACATTTTAAAATATATTTATTTATTTGAGGGTTAGAATGATAGAAGGAGGGAGGTAAAGGTGGGGGAAGATACAAACACACACACACACACACACACAGAAAGAGAGAGCTCTTCCATCCATTGGTTCACTCCCTGAATGCTGCAAGAAGCCAAATGGCTGCAAGGAGCTCCATCCAGGTCTCCCTTTTGTGTACCAGGGGCCGAAGTACTTGAGCCATCCTCTGCTGCCTTCCCAAACATGTTAGGGAGCTCTATCAAAAGCAGAGCAGCCAAGACTCGAACTGACACTCCAATATGGCATGCTAGTGTTGTAGGCTGCAGTTTAACTCAGTGTGCTGCAATGCTGGCCATAGACTACACATTTTTAATTTAAATGACATCCAAATTTTTATGGATTATGCTTTTGGTATCACCTGAGATCTTTTTCTTGTCCTTAGATCCTGAAGATAGTCTCCTGTGTTTTGAGGAATCCACAAAATACGTATGTGTGCTCATTTATACTGAACCATAGATAATTAAAAGGCTCTGCTTGGCAGGTCTCGTGAGTGAAAGCTGTCTTTTCCTTACCAGATTTGATGTGTAACCAGCACATTGAAGTTTTTTGGAAAAAATTGTACTCAAGATTACCCAGGGCCAACCATACTGAAAGTTTCATATTATTACTATGTGTAGTTAATTGTTTGATTCATTTTGAGTTAACATTTATATATTTGTGAAGTTTAGGAGTGGATTTCTTTTATTTTGCTGATGATTGTTCAATTGCCCTAGTACCTTGAGCTGAAAAAGCTACCCTGCCTCCATTAAATTGCTTGTGCATCTTTGTGAAAAATTGGTTGAAATGTTTATGTGGTGTGGGTCTATTTCTGGGTTTTATATTCTATTTACTTTGTCAAAGTATAAATCCTTTTGCAAAAAATACAGTGTTTTGGTCATAATAGCTCTATCATCTGCTGTTTCTAATAATTTTCTTCATCTACAGCCAACTCATATTTGATCAAGGGTCCAAAACCAACCCCTGGAGTAAGGACAGTCTATTCAATAAATGGTGCTGGGAAAATTGGATTTCCATGTGCAGAAGCATGAAGCAAGACCCCTACCTTTCACCTTACACAAAAATCCACTCAACATGGATTAAAGACTTAAATCTACGACCTGACACCATCAAATTATTAGAGAGCATTAGAAAAACCCTGCAAGATATAGGTACCGGCAATGACTTCTTGGAAAACACCCCAGAAGCACAGGCAGTCAAAGCCAAAATTAACATTTGGGATTGCATCAAATTGAGAAGTTTCTGTACTGCAAAAGAAACAGTCAGGAAAGTGAAGAGACAACCGACAGAATGGAAAAATATATTTGCAAACTATGCAACAGATAAAGGGTTGATAACCAGAATCTACAAAGAGATCAAGAAACTCCACAAGATCAAAACAAACAACCCACTTAAGAGATGGGCCAAGGACCTCAATAGACATTTTTCAAAAGAGGAAATCCAAATGGCCAACAGGCACATGAAAAAATGTTCAAGATCACTAGCAATCAGGGAAATGCAAATCAAAACCACAATGAGGTTCCACCTCACCCCAGTTAGAATGGCTCACATTCAGAAATCTACCAACAACAGATGCTGGAGAGGATGTGGGGAAAAAGGGACACTAACCCACTGTTGGTGGGAATGCAAACTGGTTAAGCCACTATGGAAGTCAGTCTGAAGATTCCTCAGAAACCTGAATATAACCCTACCGTTCAACCCAGCCATCCCACTCCTTGGAATTTACCCAAAGGAAATTAAATTGGCAAACAAAAAAGCAGTCTGCACATTAATGTTTATTGCAGCTCAATTCATAATAGCTAAGACCTGGAATCAACCCAAATGCCCATCAACAGTAGACTGGATAAAGAAATTATGGGACATGTACTCTATAGAATACTATACAGCAGTCAAAAACAACAAAACCCAGTCATTTGCAACAAGATGGAGGAATTTGGAAAACATCATGCTGAGTGAATTAAGCCAGTCCCAAAGGGACAAATATCATATGTTCTCCCTGATTGGCGACAACTAACTGAGCACCAAAGGGGAAACTTGTGGAAGTGAAATGGACACTATGAGAAACAGTGACTTGATCAGCTCTTGTCCTGACTGTTGATGTACAATGTAATACTTTATCCATTTTAGTATTTTTTTTTGTTCTAGTACCATTGGTTGAACTCTGTAATTGACACACAATTATTCTTCGGTGTTTAAATTTTAACTGAAAAGTGATCCCTGTTAGGAATTTGGAAAACATTATGTTGAGTGAAATAAGCCAATCCCAAAGGGACAAATACCACTTGTTCTCCTTGATAGGTGACAACTAACTGAGCACCAAAAAGGAAAACGGTTAAAGTGAAATGAATATTATGAGAAACGGTGACTTGATCAGCCCTCACCCTGACTGTTGATGAGCAGCTTGATATGTTATCCCTCTTAGTATTTTTTTTGTTTGTTCTACTTAATACTTTTGGTTGAATACTGTAATCAATACACAATTCTTCTTAAGTGCTGAAACTTAACTGAAAAGTGATCGCTGTTAAATATAAGAGTGGGAATAAGAGAGGGAAGAGATGTGCAATTCGGG